TCCATGAAGCAGCTCTGTTGTCCTCCATCCATATTTTCATTCTACCTTCTCCTCACTGTCAACGCTCTCTGGTTTCATTTAAAAGAGTCGATTATCAGATATTTTCCAAGATTAACCTTCAGGGTGGATATAGCTCGCTAGCAGCCTCGCACTGAGGACCTATCCACGTCATCATTTACCCAGAATGCTTTGCGTGTAAATAACATGGCCCCGTCCGTGTAATATATTTTTATACTTTTAGTTTAAAAATTATGAAAACTGAACATCCTACAGTATTTTTACAGTCTTTATTTTACAGTTAAAATATATGTTTATCAAATAAAGTCTAATGTTACAACTAATTGGGGATCACTTTAAGGAAAGTGAACCTGAGTAGGTGATTAAGAAGTCTTTGAACTCAGAATCTTGATTTTGATGGATCTCAGCCTGTCAAAGGAGGAGCTCAGACAGGTGCTTCCACGTTGGGAAACATGAACTGGATTAATCTAATAAATGGACCAGATTTCTGTCCACCCACTTTGCTCAACATAAAGTCTAACAAATACCATTACAACCTCATGCAGGTTGATGTGTTGTGACATAACTAGACTCTTTGTGACGTCAACCAGCATTAGGACTGGTTGGAAGGTCAGCAAGATGGGGCGTTTGTTAGATCTTCTCAAAAATACTGATCTGTTATAGCCAAAAAATCAACCAGTTTGAGTCCAACTCCATGTTTTTGTGTCTGCCCACTATGTTCATCCTCCCTGGTGTGTGTGTTTGTGTGTCATGATGGTGGCTTGTCCTCCATTCTCATGGTAATGGAGCTCCAGAATGAAGTTTTTTGTGCGGTCGCCCCCCTCAAAGCTGTGAAGCTGAACTTCACAATAATAATGGGGCTATCATAGATTGGGTGGTGTTGGAGCTGCTGTTGTGTGTGGAAGGGTGTTGTTGAACTGGTTTGAAGAAATTTCCAATCAGCAGGTGGGTAAAGCCTCCTCTTCATATTTTTTCCCTACTTTGCTGTCTTTTTGTTGGACCAGCACTGCAAACAAGGTTTTTTTTTCCTCTCCAAAGAAATCCTACATCTTTGTTCAGGTTTGCTCAGTTTTAAGCCGTTCAATCTGCCTGATCTGTGTTTTCATTGATACAGTATGTTCCTGTTATTAACCACAATTTTGTTTTTGGTTAAACCCTTGCTGACTCGAACTAATCCATGCGTTGTGACTATGGCTTGAGTCATGCTGAAGTTAGCACAGACTCTGGAGTTGCAGGAGTGGTTTACTTTTACGTCACTTTACAGCACTAATAAGTACAGGACACTCCCTGCTGTGACAGTTCCAGAAACTACTCTGCCGTTCAGACATCAGCAGATATGTTGCAATGATGAAATGTGTGAAACCATATTGGTATTGATCTAAAACAATTAAGGGACAAAATGTCAAGACTCCTGTTCTAAGAAATGGATTGATGTAGTTTACCTGGATTTTTTTTTGCAGAGGAAACTGCAACAAAACTTTTGAGTTGCAAATTCATCCATTTTGCTTAAAATTTATTAGTGGTGTATTTTATTTCTTTATTTTACTCAAAGCTTATTTGGAAATTTGTGTAAATCAATTTATGAAGTTATCTTTTATTTGAATTTATTTTGTATTATTTGTTGCTGTTTCCCAATATTCAGTTACTTAATCTACTCATGAKTCCTCAGTCGCAAATATAACCATTATCCTGTTTTGCTGTCAGTTTATTTGAATTTATGTTTTTGACATTCTTAGTGAATTGATTTAAAGTGATCACCTGTAAGTCATGTACTCTATAGTCTCAGCCTTCCAGCTTCCTTTTTAAAACATTTTTCCTCCTCAGACAGCAAGTGGTTAATAACCTACAAGTGTGTTTGATTACACAATACACACCCAAGAAATACCATGTACTGTAGCATGTAAWGATCTACAAAAGCCACACACAGCACACGCGACTGGATCTATTMAAGCATTCAGTTTGTTTATCTTCTGAAGCTGAAAAAACATCTAATGGTAAACTTGCTTTTGGGTTTCAGTGGAACTATAACTAAAAACTAAAATTAAAACTCAAAATGCTCCAAGAAATGATTGAAAAACCAACATAATCCCAATATTTCTTGCTCGTATTTAAACAGTTGTGTGTGTGAAATTATCTTGATGAACATACAACACCTGTGTGAAAATTCACCAAACAAAGAAGAAGTGGAGTTCTGTCAAAAGTGGGTCAAAATGTGGTCATGAGGCTTCACAGGTCGGCTCTGATAGAAATAGTTGCATATTTAAGCTTGTGAAGTGGAGCATGTGATGGTGTTTTGTGTTGTCTGTAGTAGATCAAACATGGGAATAAACCCATTGGTTCTAATTAGATTCCAAGTCTTTTGTTTCCACTCTGCCCGTATTATGCAGCGTGACTTCTAAAAACCCATTAGTGAACTAGTTTCTCATCGGTAAGGTCATGTGCAACTTGTGWTAGCAGCCGGCAGCGACCCACGTTACCGGCTGATGTGGTTCAAGCAACGAGAAAAGCTCATTGAGTTGAGCTTTAGCCAAGTCACGTGAAGCGATGAGGTCAGGGTGGGAACGAAACCAAACGCTGGTGACCCATGAATCAAACACAAGAATACTGTGAAACTGATGAAAACTTCTGCAAATCACTTTGACGAAGTTGTGACCATTTCCTGCTGGGCAATTCTTTTTAAAGAGGTGGTGTAGTTTGGCACTGTTTACGCCAAACAGGGAGGTTGCTGGCAGTAGAGCAAAAGGGGGTCAGATTTCTGCTTAGGTTTAAACAAGGATGAGCAGCGTTAACTTYGTTAGTCTCTGACAGCATCTGTTCGAGGAAAGGTGATGTCATTGTCATCCATCTCAACACGACACCTCAAGCTGCTCATGCTGAAACTTCATCTCAGACGTCGTAGATCCTTATACTAAAGCACACATCAGTGCTGCTAACTTTTCACCTTTTTATTTWTAATGCCGCCATAAGAAATATGTTTTCATTGAGAGGCGAGACACGAACCAGGAGACAACTTAAAATTTAGACTTGAACATTTAACTGCAAAGAATAAATCCATACAAACACCACAACACAGACCTTTATTCAGTCTAAGCATTTTGGTATCAAATCAAAACAATCCACACATTTTATCCATTATCTTCCAAGTCTGGCCACACCTCAGGCAAGACGTCACATTGAGTGGAAGGATCTTCTCTAACATATGACCAGACCAATTACAACAGTCTATTACAACAATGAGAAAYAATTAAATGTTGGTCTGTTGTRTGGTGATAAGGCGCTTCTTAACTAATCTTGTCCTTTTAAAAGTACWCTCTGTTTTAAGATGACCCATTCCATAGTGAACATTAATTAATCAGTTTAATCAAAGCACACCAAGATACAGTATGTAAAATTGCARTTAGATTATCAAAAACAGCCTAGATCTCTCAATAAAAGCAGGAATGTGTCGTGCATTTAAAAACAATCAGTTAAACAGAATCAATTCTTCTTCATCGCCTCAACATATCACAGATAATTACCAAAGATGTTCTGGGTATTTTCATTTTACATGTAATTGGCAGCGTTCCCACGGGTCCTTGAAATCCTTGAAAGTTTGTGAATTTGAAAAAATTATTTCAAGGCCCTGGAAAGTTTGTGAAAACAGCCAAAAAGTACACTTGYCATTGAAAGTCCTTAAATGTTTTTTKGGRATTGAAATTCTCTATTCAYTCGACTGATTTTCATCYTCTTTCCAAAAAAATAAATTATATAAAAAAATACTCAGGTTTACRGTAAACTGAGGTCATTGTTTCTGRCTCAACAACTTCTATGTTGTTAAGTTTTTCATTGAATTTACATGATATTAAACCTGTTCATTTGGTAACATTCTGCGGTAGAAGTAGGTAATTGCCATTGCGCGTGGTTCTTTAATTTGAGGAAATTGGTACTGGAAAGTCCTTGAAAGGTCCTTGAATTTGATGTTGACCAAGGTGTGGGAACCTTGAATTGGTCTTCCACTACATTTTTTTTAAGTTACCAAGTTTGTAAAATTTGACATACAAAATCCTAAAGCAGGGGTGTCCAGTCCTGGTCCTCGAGAGCCACTATCCCACATGGTTTACCCACCTGAGCAGGGAAACAAGTAAAACATGCAGGATCGTGGACCTYGAGGACCAGGGTTGGACACCTCAGTTTTAAATTGCTGTACAAAGGTTTATCTATATACCTGTTTACAAATAAGATATTGGAAAAACCTCTTGCCTCTCTCAGTAAAGATGAGTTATTTGGAGCTTTTTAGATTGAAATGCACAAAAATTCAAATGATTGGCATTACTTCTGGGAGATTTTTCTTTCAGCCAGCACTTATTCAAGACCGTTTCAGACATTCAAGAAACCAAAGTCTGTTTTTTCGCAGTAAAACTTGAGTCCAAATGAAATATCCCCTGCAGTCTTGGTAAACAACATGCATAAACTTGAGAAACGATTTTGCTTTTCATCGCTTTCCCGTGCTGTTACCTCTCCTCCCTCTGTTTGCCTCTTAACTGGCTCCTCTTTAAAGTCTGCTCTGGCCCCTGAGAGCCCACATGTCTGTAGTTGCTGTCACAAGCCTTTGTGTCGCCCACAAAGAGCCCGAGTCCCCTCCAGTTTTATCTCCATTTATGAAAGGCAGCGGTGCGTGAACGAGGCTTTCCCTTCAGTCCCAGGCCTCCCCAGAGATCAGCCCTCTGTGAGTGATAGCGGCGGCTGGGATGAGAAGCTGCTTGGATGAGGGTTTAGGGCGGGCCGAGTGGGTGGGCACGAGTRTGTTTGGTTCTAAATGAGTTGAGCTATGGGCTGGGAAGCATTTGCTCTTAAATCTTCCCTYCCTATTATTTGGCTACAAAAAATGTTTTTGTTTTACCAGTTTTATGCAAATGAACAAACCGGTGCAGGTTAAAAAAAGAATAATAATTTTTGACAAARCCATCAGGACTACGCTTCAATGACACAACCTCTTGTTCCAGAGATGAAGCTTCAGTCGTCTCAGCCCAAACCCTTGGAAACCGCCCAGGTCTCAGTGGATCCTCCGCCCCCTGTCGGCGCCGAGGTTCCTGAGCTGAGGATGCTGGAGAAGAGGTCAAAGGTCATCGAGGAGCTGCTGCAGACTGAAGACGATTACATCAGAGACCTGGAAATGTGTGTCGACGAGATCATCGTGCCTCTGCAGGAGAAGCAGGTAACGAGGGAAACCAGGAGGTCTAAAAAAGTGATGCCTTGTGTAAACGTTAGTTCATATATTATTTTAAATATCTGCATKTGTTTATACTTCCTGAGGCTAATCACAAACTTGTTCCTAATATAGAYACAAAAAGTCTGTCTTTAAGTGTTATACAGTATTTTAGGAAAAGTGGAAATATTGACTGTTTTCCTGTTTTATTTATCTTAAGGTGAACGTGGACTTTGAAGGACTCTTTGGAAACATCAGCTCTGTGATCGAGTTGTCTCAGCGGTTATATAGTGAACTTCAGGAGACGGACTCTATAGGTAAAGAGTCATTTTAAAGACCGGTCAAGTCAGGAAGTATCCTGATTATATTTATGTTTCATCTATAAACAAATCTCTTCTTTAAAATTTACTGGAAYAGTAAGTCTTTAAATGCACTTTAACATAATTCAGCCTCACAAGGAGCGTTTGAGGCTCTGATTATATAACATATTATTTTATTTAGTTATTTACTGCAGAATTTACCCCAAAAAAACATTTGTCTTTTATAAACTGATCTTATGTATTTTGCTGCATTTTTTTTTCTAATGATAAAATACATCCCCTTTATCCTTTTTGAACATAACTCAAACTGTAATGCCTTTTTTTTCTTTTATGTCCATTCAGGAACTGTATTTTTGGGCCACAAAGCTGAGCTGGAGGAGGTGTACAAAGTTTACTGTCAGAACCATAACGAGTCCATCTCCCTGCTGGAGGCGTACGAGAAAGACGAAAGCGTTCAGCGACACGTACAGGACTGTCTCGAGAGTCTGAGGTGAGTCAGATACTTTATTTTTACAAATCTGTTGCGTGGTCAGGGTATGAACGAGACAATGTCACATTAAATAATCGACCCAGCTAAAGCTTGGAGTGTGCTCCATCTCAGTTTGTGTGAGGACTTCAGAAATGTGGAGCAATTCAGGAATGTGCCCTGCCTTGTTTCTCCTGTCGAGTTTCACCATCTGTGACGCAGACACTTGGACGGACGCTGCTGCGTTTCAGTGAAATACAGCGGGTAAAATAAGTATTGAACATGTCACCATTTTTCTCAGTAAATATATTACTAGAGGTGCTAATGACATGAAATTTTCACCAGATGTCTTTAACAACCCAAGTGATCCATACATACAAAGA